CTGAAAGCAAAGAAATGCAGAAATAATATGCAGATGGAAGAAACAGAAGAAATTTGGTGAATTTTGAGGTCGGAAACCTGCTTTTATAAAACCCTATTCTTCCTATTCATGCAGTCGCTGCTGTCCGTCTACTGTTTATCGGACCTTTTAAGGTCGTGGCCAAGCGAGGCCTTGCTTATACGCTAAACCTTCTGGATAGGATGCGCATCCACCCGGTGTTTTATGCGGGCTTGCTTAAGCCGTACCGGGATCCGGCGCAAGTGAACGCGGAAACGTTGTCGCCGGGGCGATACCAATGATGCTCGGTCACCCAGAAGCTGAAACATCAACTGGTTCTGAGCACGGAGTGCAACGATTTCCGTTTTCAACGGCATGCCACCGTCGCATTAAGGGACGAATCTGTCTGCTCGACGGCTAGAAGCCGGTTCGACAGAGCGCGATAGCCTTAACGTGAGGCAGTCGGTGCACAAAGTTAGCCAAGCTCTCAAGGTCTTCCGCACAGCGGTATGTGACCTCGGCAAGATGCTCGGCAGAGTGCCGATGACGTCGGACTTTGTCCTCCAGAGCAAGAAGAGCTTCGCAAGTCACCGGACGGCGATCGACCAAGTCGTCATCTTCCACCGCCGACTCTTCTCGATGAGAACGGTAGCACGGGGAACGCCTTGTGGGTTGACGAAGCCGACAGGGTCTAACCCAATATCTTGTGAACTGGCAGGGATACCCAAACTCCGAGAACTCGTGGTAGTTTGAGGTGCCACTCAGGCACGACTGTCCAAAGCTTACGATCAGAAGGATCATGACGCTCCTTCTCGAAGGTAACCCGGGAAGCCGAAAGGCCATGAGCTGAGCTCAAGCTATGGCCTTGAGCAGCTGTGGTTGTAGACTCACCAGTATGAGAAACCGCGGGAGCGTGATGGATTATTCCATATGTCGCAGGGCGACAATACGGAGGAAGTCGGCGTTGCGCCTTGAGTTTGGCATGCTCAAATCGAAGGTGATGTTTTACGCGCACACTCACCTCCTTGTGGCTCCACTGTAAGGTAGACAATGAGATAAGTTTTTGGTGCCGCTGCACCCATCGCTCAAAGAGCTCTACATCATCTGCGGCGGTTTCGTCAGGGGCGACCAAAACAGGATTGTTCGCAGTGCGAATACAGGAGCGCATCCTCTTTGAGCTCGAAATCGAGCGTGGTACCTGTCCGTTGGGATTTATTGAGGCACCAAGAAGAGAGCACGGAGAGGTTTTTCGCTGGTTAAGCTCGGCTTGTGTAGTGACAGGGGCCCGGCTACGTAGACGCCAAACAATCGAGTGATCACGTCTTTCGCTTTAGCTGCGGTATCCGCCGAGCGGAATCCGTACTTTACACGAGGGTCTAGGACCGGACGTGGATTCGAGCGCATGAGAGCCGCCCTGTGGACAGCCTCCAACTGCTGCTCTTGGGCCTCGTTGAGTCGATCAATAATAATTCTACTTTCCCCGGAAGTCGAGAGGTCGGGAAATGGACACGGTGTCCGCAAGGTTAGAGCAAGGCTCAAGTCGCGCCGTTGGCACACCTAGCCCTCCTCTTCTTCCCATGCTGGCAAGGAGTATCCGACTCGTAGTCGACTTTTTCTAAATTATCGACAAGGAAATCAGTCGCTCTGGGCGGGCGCGGTGTGTGGCGCCCAGTTGCCGAGGGCTTGGGATGTGCTTCCCGTGAAGCCGCGGACGTACTGTCCGGATATGCACCCCGAGCCGAAGAAGAAGGGCTTTGCGCGCGGAACCAGCTAGGCTGGGTGTTATCCGTGCCATAGACACAGGGCTAATTTAGCGGAGAATGCTCAAGGATATTATTGAGAACGTAAGGGTGTCTCAGATCAGCGAGCCTCGTATGATGCGACAGTTAAATGTGAATTGTGGATATTCGCCATTCTGATAAGGTCTAGTGTAATGGGGTTACATGTACCCTTTTACGAAAAGTCAGATGGTGCGACCGCTCATAGTTGTAGATAACACAAGTTGGTATAATCACACAATGGTGTGGCTACACCGTAACATGAAGCCACTACGTGGCAGGACTACCAGTAGAAATGCATATTAATTAAGATTTACTATTAATCAAGAGAGCCTAAAGTTTTAGATATAGACGGATCTGCCGCAAATAAAACAGTTAATTACAGTTTCAATTTTGAACTGAAGAGCGTTTTTACCATGGTTCAGGTATTTTAACTACTTTGGAGGTAGTGAATTGCGATTCGCCGCACTCCTACTGGTTCTTGTATAGAACGTAAGGTCGGTGACCAAAGTTTAGCTTTCTCTAAGCAAAGTGCTGCGGTAGCCCGCTGCAACACCAACGTTACAGGACGTATCCTTGAGAGACAAAAATACCATATATACTGCCAGCGCCAACCAGAACCCGAAAGATGCTACGTATGCAAACAGGCATGTTAAACGACATGGCTTTAACACTTATTTTTGTTGAGTCACCAGCACATTACGTTTACCGGGTAGTATTTCTCTTCTCGTCTGGAGTGGCCATAGAGAGGCGTCGTACAGTATTCTGTATATATGTCGCTCATCGTGAGGGGCCCTTACACGTTGCTCTACCTTGGTATAACAAATTGCGATGCAAACCTGTAAGTGAGCGCTTCAATAGCAGCTTCTAAGTTTACGAACTCTATACTTCCCGGAGCTTTCAGCAACGCAACAAATGCGTCCGATCGGAACACTGAACAAGTCTTTTCGGCAATAATCGGCAATACTATCGTGACCTGACAAATACAGTGGGGTGACACGAAAGCGTACAAACTGCCACATTAAGTCAAACCTCATGTTGAAGATGTACATGGCAAAGAAAGGTAACAATTTTGTCATTTCTTGTGAGGGGTGAGGTGACGACGTCACTGTGTTCAGCGACAATTTTGTGCATAGATAATAACGGCTTGGAGCCAAGTAGGTTCACCACAAACTTTACAAGTGTTGTTTTCATAATATTGACCCCATGTCGCACATTATAGTTTGCTTTTGCTGCTTGAAGGCGGCAACATTCAAACGCGAGCATGATTCATGAACGTTGCCCCTTGTTAAAAGCAACCCACAACTATGCCGATGCCATACATGGCATGGATCATAAATGCAGACTCGAATGAGGTCATTCTTTTATAGTCTTGAAGGCCATCTCGTTTCGCCAGATCCTAACAGCGTTGATAAGTAAGGCGTCCGAAGTTAGATCACACCACGGCTGCATGATCTGAACATAACTGTACAAGTTATTCACTTCCTTAAGTCGAGTGCACCGACCAATCCGCAATGGTCTTTATCTTTGCGGGATCTGCCGGCCAACATGTCCTCCAATGAAATTTTTTTAGGCTCCAAAGACACTCTTATCTACATTAGAAAAATTCTTATCAAAGCGCATACACTTGAACACTGCTAGCGATCGTTTGATATGGCTGTCTACATCTGACTCCCCGTACTCTGCACGGAGGTATTAACTAGATCAATGGCACTGAAAAATGTGCAACCGATCGTGCTGATCTACAGCATCTTCTTTATCAGATAAGGGCTGTATCGATGTTACAGTTTTATTCAGCGTATTATGAGCATAAACATCGACCACCTGGGGATTTGGCTTAATTGACACCAGCTTACAGATGTACTTGACATAATACCAAAAAAACATACCTCTAGCATGTGTGTCGGCATGTTGAAAACAATGACCCCAGCACAATCGAATCGTCAGACAATTGCTACGAAGACGATGACTATAAATACATGGTGACAACCTTGATTTAAGCCTCTAAAGAAAGAAGATGCCTACAAGGGCAAAGATTACGTACACAAGGAGTATGATAGAGGGGAATTACAAAAAGACAGCAAAGGCTACAACCAAGTTTGTAACGGCACCGGTAATGACAGCTATCCTAAATATACTGTGACAACGGCAGCAAGAACTTTACTATTGGCAGCGACTATCAAAATCATGGCAAAAGATACGCTGGCAGATAGTTTAGCGAACACTCGGACTACTACTCCTTGTTACAAAATTGACTAGTAAAGCTATGACCATCGAAGATCCGATGACAACTACTACAACCACCGTCGCTACAGTGACTTTAAATATGAATATCCTGGTTGCAATGTGTCCGTATCAGGTATCCTAGTTACGACGTGTATAAGTATTTTAATTGCGGCAACTACAAATGCCCAGAAGTCATCAACAACAGATCTGCAGCCTGCCGTGATTCTTGTGAGTAGGGAAAGAAGATCTGCTGTTATGACAATGAGATCAACCAACAGCAGCAATATGGAAACAACAAAGAGGCGTCAAGCTCAGTGTTGTCAAATGAGACCAAACCACCGACTAGTCAACGAACAAGTGTTAGAAAATTCATCATATCCCACACCCTGCACCAAAGGTTTTGTAGCTTTATGGCTGCGCCAGGAGCGCTTTTGCTTTCTAGTAGAGTTGGGCTCACGAATTACAAAGTTCGACCGGGAAAGAAGGGCGTGCGTTTTAGAGCCCCCAACTTTCGGTCGACCTTTGAAAATCGCGTCTAAGCCACGCCATACCTAGGATGAGATCAGATCTTGAGGTTGGTTCACAAACAAAAAGTCTTTCAGGCTTCGAATGCCTCAAATTTCATGGTAAAGCTCAAAAGAACCTTTGACGCTTTAACTACAAAAGGCGCACAGATATCTATTGATTTTGACATTTCGCATCATGCGTGACAGCGACATCTAACAGGACTACGGTTCCGCAAGGCCTGGATGACTGACAGCGAAAACCGACAAACTTCAGCTCTGAGTCCCACCTCTGTAGATAGAGCCGTGGCTGGGTTTTACCTCCATGAGATATGATAGAGTCCATTTCCTTAAACTATGTGACTGCTACTTCACTTTTATTTGTGCTGAATTGCGCGGACATTTTCTGAAATTGTGATTATTCTAATAGGGCTATTACTCTGTCGAGTCACATGAAGGATAACCATTGCATTATTTTTTGTCAACCTGCACAAAAATGTTGTCAAGACCAACAGCTCGGGCTGGAGTCATTCGTCTAGTCCTGACGCCGGTCACTCATGCTCCGGTGCAGCGAAATTATTTGCATCCAGGCAGCGCGCTCTACATACTGAAACAACAGCGTACATCTTTTATTCGCCTAGCTTCGGATGTAGCAGCCCCGGCCATCTCCTCTAAGGCAACGGAAGTGACATCCACCCCTACCGTAGCTTCTGACACCGCAATACACAAATTGAGCATCTCCAAGCGCCGAAAGAGTAAAAAAAATAAAAAGAAAGTGGCAATTGCTGCATCTACTACGGTTGATAAAATAGCAGATTGTGCTGAAGACAAAACGGCCAAAGTTGCTGCTGATGTCGTGGCAAAAAACGCGACAAGCTCAAAAGTACCTGTGCCAAAAAAAAAGGTAAAGACAGTGCTGCGAAAGCCAATGACGCAAAAGGAGGTCGAAGAAAAGATGCTGGCAAGAGTTCTAAACGAAGACACCAAGGCGACTGCAAGTGTTGTTCCGACGCAGAGCTCAAAGAAAAACAAGCAAAGCGACATTTCGACAGATCAAACTACGTCCGAGACTGCAGTTTTGGTAACGAAAGAATCGATTTCGCCGAAGAACTTGAAAACAGAAACGATTACGATGACCTTGCAAAAAATTGCTGCATTGCAAAAGACGCTACCCAGCGAGTCAGAGATTGCGGCTCTGATTACCAAGCTTCGTCGGAATTCATTCGAAAACGCACACAAACTGTTTGACTTATACCGCAACTTTGGTAACCCGTACCTAGACGAGAGTTTTTTGACACCTGGGGTTCTCGCTTGCTGTGAAGCAAAGAAACCAGCAGAAGGTATTCATATTGTTCGAGATATGCTTGACCAAGGACGAAAAGTAGACAACTCCACGTTGCGTACGCTTTTTGATGCGTGCGATGAAGCATCGGCCGCAAAAGAAGTGATTGAGCTGTGGGATTTAATGGACAAGGCGGGCATGAAGTTGGAGTTGGCCGATTACAACCGGTTTCTTACTATATGTTACCGCCAAGAGTATCTTGATGGTGCTGTCAAGGTACTCAAGCAACTCCGTCTCTTACGCTCAGTTTCAGTACATACATACATGCATTGGCTTCTGCGTGCTTCGATTGTCTGGCGCTCAGATGCATTTTTTGATATTTTGATGGAGATGCGACTGTCCGAAGTAGAGCCAGAGATCATGTCGCTCACTTCGCTAGAGTCCGGGCGTAAAGATCGTGCATTAACGGTAATGGAAGGAGTTCGTGCTGTCGGATTGGACCCTTGCTTTGCGATGGCGTCTGTCTTTTCGTCAATGCAAGCGTCGGTGTACCAAAATGGACCTAGCTACCAGGCTCTCACAAAGCAAGATATCAAAGATGCACGCGAGAAATTTGGCGATTTAACGCCTATTGAGCTGGATTGGCCTGTGACTCCGACGCCGCAAGTTCTAGAGACGCAAGCAGCAGGCCTGCTGCTTGAACGAGAAACTTTTCGTAGATTAAAGCGACAGCAAGTGAATCATATTGACAAGCTGTTGGAGATGCTTCCAATCACCACCAATATGACCATCAATTTACGCAAGCAACTGTTGCGCATGTCATTGCTTGTCAATACGCATCGTGTTCGTCGAGACGAGACCAAAATCTGCAAGGAATATGACAGTGGTCGCAGTCTGATTGAGCTATCGACGGCTCACAATTATCCTCCAGTGTCGCTCATGCGAGTTATTCTTCGCGCCAAAGGAAAAAGTCAGCTTGAGATCAAGGTAATTTTTGATCATTCAGCGACCAGTCGTGATATCAGACGATGACAAACTCTTACTAACGACTGATGTGCATTTGCAGAACGCTCTGGCAAAACCAAATTTGATACTTTCAAAGCGTGACCAGCGCGAACTGCGCAAAGCTTCTGACTACGACAGCATTCACAAAAGTGATCCACTTATTGAGGCTCCTCAGTACAGTACTGTCTCGTTGGAACGGGCTATTGAACACTTTTTAAAGGCCAAGGGAATCCGACTGAAGTGTGTTGCTACCTCAACCATTATCATTCTTATAATCTAATTGTATTGTTTGTGTTATACGCAGAACTCAAGCCGAACTAAGTGCCGACCAGCATGGAACCCACGGCCGAGCCGTCATGTCCCCAGATATTTTATTACTGGATCCCGTGATTATTAACGGAGTTCCGATTCGGTGGATTGATGCCAAGAATTATTATGGTGCTCACATTGTAAGTAAGAGACTCATCTCAACACAGGTGTCAAATTACGTCAAAGAGTGGGGTCCAGGAGCCATTGTTTTTGGTATGGGGTACAGCGATATGTTCTCCCTACCGGGTGTGATCTGCCTCGACACAACACCATTTCCGAGTACACGCAAAGAAGCTGCTAAACTTCGCGTGAAGTCGTTCCTATACTCATGTTTAAATGCCTTTCGCTGGAAAAAGCATTTGGGAAGCGACCTGACGCAAGAGCATCGTCAAGCCAAGACGCTAGAATCAAGCCCGACTCAATCTTCGTAAATACCGGTAGAATGAATTTAGAATAATTTTTCTTGGATGGTCAGTGTTCCTAGTATCTTCTGGATCTGGTATTGCACGAAATGGTCGCTCCCCGTAGGTGGCATTACCTGGTAGAATGCTTACGAGACCCTCCACGCAGTGACTTTGCCTTTGTACCACACCAATACATATCGGCTTCTTCGGAGCTTCTAGATGCTACTAATCACTCGCCAAGTGACGAGAGTACTCCAATAAACTCGCGGTCCGTCCCTTTTCATCCTACTTTAATTTGGTATATGCTGAGTCTATCTATCTTGTAGACTCAAGTATCGTCAAAAGCGGGTGGCAGGCCAGTATAACTCGTTTTTCAAGCTTCACATTGCAGCCATGGGTGTTGCAGGCGTGTCCTGTACTTGGCTAACGCTGTTTCCTATTGCTCCTGGACAACTTTACAACATGCAGGTGGACGTCTTTCGAGCCAGACATGAGCACGCCAGCTTTTTCTTTCGTTCTTGCTTGTATTTAGGAACAATACTCGGAGCTGCAGCTGCTGGATATTGTGGAGATCGATTAGGACGCGCCGGCACTTTAGAGTTGTCAGCCATCCCGCTCACTGTAGGCTGGGTATTGGTTGGAGTTGCATATGGAGAGCTTACAGTACTTTTCGGACGTTATTTACTTGGTGCAGCGGCTGGAATCATCTATGTGATTGTACCAGTCTATCTGGCCGAGATCAGCGCTGAACATAGTCGTGGACGAGTGATTTGTGCACAGAGGCTCGTGTCAGGCGTTGGAGGAATTTGCTACTTGTTGCTTGGAGCGTTATTCATGTACTTAAGTCAACATTATATTGGCTTTAACCTGACTGAATGGAAGGTTTTGGCATTGTCTGGCATTGCTCCTGCCTTGCTGTTGCTACTACTTGCACAAAAGCTGCCAGATTCACCTACGTGGCTCATTGCTCGCCACGACGACCGGAAATCTGCTTTCAAAGTGCTATATAAATTGTTTAACCGTAACGAACGCATCGCTGAGGACAAGACAAATGCAATTATCCACGCAAAAATACAAGCAGCGATGGAACGACGTCACCACGGCGCATTTTTTCGCCCCGTTCTTCTGTGCGCTATCCTCTTTACATTACGTGCTGTGAGTGCGTTTTTGCTAAAACCAGCGATTACATCAACGCTTGCACAAGCTAGCAGTCGAGGGGTTGGAGGAACACGAACAAACGTTTCCTTTGTCTTAACAATTTTCGGTGTAGCCATTGATGGCGCCGAAGAAGAACTGATTACTGTCACAACGGTGGCCGCGATTGCTGCTGTCATGGGTGTTGTAGCGTGCTACTACCTTGTGGATACTAGAGGAAGACCTGTAACCACACAATGTGGCTGCTACTTAGTGGCACTCGCCTGTGTGTTTCTAATTATTTCTCTAGACCGAAAGGCGAACCAAAAGGAAAACAACCGAGTCGCGCTGAGAGACTTTGGTTGGGCATCTATGTTGTTGATAAATGCCGGGCATCAGCTTGGTTTGGGCGTGGTGCCCGTAATTATTGTCAGTGAATTATTCGCCGTTAAGCAGCGTATGGGCGCTGTAAGTCTTATGGTGATTTGGGAGGCCATTGTTAATATCGTTCTCGCTCATGCTGTTCCGGTGCTTCGCGAATTGATGTCAACATCAGTAGACGTGGCAGGTATTTGCGTCAGTATTATCCTAGCGTGTAACATTACTGGCGCCGTCTTGTCGTGGTGGTACATTCCTGAGACTAGCCGGCGCAGTCTCCAGGACATTGAAGCCATTTTATGCGGATGGCAACCTGCTACGCCTCGCCGCACTACGTCTTCACACGTACGGCTCGAGTATGGCAGCAATGAATAATACAATAGATCGTTAAAGTTTGTTTTTGATATAAATAGGGACTTATGACATTTAGCTAAGCTATTCGGTGCTCTTCAAACGAAGGGCTTGACGTGGTGGATGACGACGTCTCAAGATCAGCACCTTCGTCGTGTTGTTCATCGTCGGCTATATCCGTTAGTCTATCCATTACTTCATCGTACGAGCGACACCACCAGGACTTGGTGCGATATTTGATGCGCCCATAACAGCCGAGACTGCGCGCATCGTCGTGAAAAACGTGCATATGAACATGATCAATGCTGTTAAAAGGTGGCACATGAAACGAGTAACGCACTGGATTCTTGTATGTATCGTCAAGCTCTTCAAGTTTTAAGTCCATTTGCTCGTCAAACGCTCCAGGTTCTGTAATCTTGATCATGACAGCTTTGGCCACACGGTACATGCGCACGAGAAGCTCACGATGTCTGGTAGCTAGCCGATTAACGTTCTGAATGTGTGCGCGCGGCACAATGAGGACATGACTTGCCATAATTGGTCGCAAAGGGCGAAAGACAACCACTTTCTCATCCTCGTACAAGAAAAGCTCGGCGCGTGCCCGCACGATCTCGCAAAAGCGACAGCTGCACACTTGTCCATCGCGGTGATATCGCACGCCTTTATAGACACTGACATTTAATCGTGGTGGGGGTAATATCCCGCTTATTCGCGCTAGGAGGGAAGTGTTACGGTGCATGTTTGCTCAGTGTTGGCCAGAGCGACAAATGTACCGGAAGTTCGTCTGGTCTTGATGGCTGAGCTGGGCGGAACCTGAGAGGGGGCCAGCATAATCAGAACATAATTGGAACAAGCTTAGAAATAGTCTTCCATAATCATTGCGCAGTCTAATATGACATAGGATGTCTGTCATCCTATTAGTGCAAAAGATGACAAATCATACCCAAAGTGAATGTGTATATTAATCGTTTTCGTATAGCAACAACACCTCGTTAACGACTTGACGGGGTTTAAGTATAATACCAGGGACAGCTCAAACCTTTGTCTTTGCATATTTCGTCGTTTGTATTTCGGTCGCAACCAATTCCGGAGAAGTCATTGACGGGCAAACGTATGTGCACTGCCACCACATTCTGTTCGAATTCTCGGGCATACGTAAATGTGCATAATACGCAATTTAGAAAAAGCAAAATGTTCGGAAAATCTTGCGACATACGCAAAATCAAGAAGGAGCGTGTCACCACAACTTTTAAAATCTTCTGATTCTCTGGATGTGATTTATGTGGCTATAAGACCAATGCTAGTTCAGCACGTTGTAGCCATCGTGTGAGTATGCTACTACAATAAGTAGGCATGTACTTTTGATACTACAACATCGGGTTGAGGTATCTATTTACGCATGTCTATGCTGATTGTTTGGGTTTGTCTCAGGCTGAGATCGGAAGTTAAAATTGAGTCGTTCATCACATCGCAATGCTAATGCACTGAAATGGTTGTTGGACACAAAAAGCCTTGGCAGCTGTACCAGTAGCTGAAGTTGTAAGCGACGTTAATACAAAAGAGAAAATGCGATGGAAGGGGACAAGAAAAATGATCGGCGGTGGATGGAAATCATAGAAGTTCACGTTCACGTATCGATGTTCCTATCAAGTTGCGCCGAAGGGTTGTGCCTATAGAGCTTTGGATAGATGAACAGCAAGGTCGCCTTACTTATCATAATTCCCATTTGCATCTCAGGTCAGCCTGTAAATTTTAAGATGACATGTGTTTGATATGTACCGACTTTATAAAACCAGTTTGTGTTATTTTTTGCGGCTACTGTATTCCTTTACATCTAAGTCGCTTATTTATGTGCAGAGAATATGAAAAGCAGGAAAACAGTACATGTGTCAATGTGTTGAGGATACTATGTTACCAGGATTTTGTGACTGGTCAGACTGTAGGGTTGCAGCTTTTTTAGCACAAGATCTTTCGATACCCAATAAGTTTTCAGCAACAGGCCATTTTGAATCTCTACTCATTGTTCACTTCTCGAAGATTCTCCTGCATTCAAAAGTTGCCAAAAACCTTACAGAGCACTCACAAGCAAGCAATGCCATGGGCACTTATATCAGCGAAATAATAAGAAAGCTGGAGCGTGCCTTGGGATTGCTTTGCACTGTGCATAGAGAGAGCTTTGACTCAACACAAAATTTCGCTTTTTCCGGAGCAGCACCGAGAGAGTCTAACGCTATTAAGTTCACTTTTATTGAAGAGTTAAGATTTCATTCTACCCAAACCAGTATTCGATTGTAATGGTTTAGTACATCAAGTAATAAATTATCTATATCGCTAGACATAATGCTAAGACCTCGCGTGCCCCATGGACCAGAGTTTCATCATCGCCATTGGTATCCATACTTTGGCACCGCTGAGCTGTGCATAATTGCACAAAAGTTGAGTATGAGCTTTGC